AATAATAATATAAAATAAAAGTCCAGCTCACATAAATGTTGAGAAGGGTAGGAATAGATTAGTAACCCGGTGAGATCATCAGAAATATTCTTCTCTGAGTCTATATCAAAACCTTCCTGGGAGGGTGGGGGGGCACTTCCCTGGCAAGTGCAAGGGCCTGAGTTCAATCACCAGTTCTGGAAAAAAAAAAATCTTCCTGGGCCATGGATATAGCTAAGTGGTAGAGCATTTGCCTGGCTTGTGCAGGACCATGAGTTTGTTATCTGTGACCACAAAACAAAACAAAAATCTTGAATAAGAGGTAATTTTGGTTCTTTAAACTGTTGATTTTTTAAAGGTTAGCTGCAATGTGAACCTGAAATTATAAATGAACTTTTTGAACTGTTATGTTAAAATTCATGACTCTATATTTTTTTTCTATTTTGTTTCTAAATGAATGTTGTACATAGTCTGATTTTGTAATATGATGCATTTCAGTCCTTTATACAATTTGATTGAGTGACTTATGCAAATTTTTCAAATATTGATACATTTCATTATATAATATCAAAAATATTAATGTCACTATCAATCTTAGAAAGTGTTTAAGAATTGGATGTGGTGGTGCACAACTATGATCCTAACTACTCAGGACTGAAGCAGGAAGCTGGAAAGCTGGAAGACAACCAAAATAATTTAGCAAAACCCTGTCTCAAAGATAAAATAAGCCCAGTGTGGTAGCCTATAATCCTAGCACTCAGGAGGCTTAGTTGGAGGCCAGCCTGGACTATGTAATGAGTGTGAGGCCACCCTGGCTGACCTTGCCTCAAAAACAGAAAGAAAGGAAAAGAAAGAAAGAAAGAAAGAAAGAAAGAAAGAAAGAAAGAAAGAAAGAAAGAAACCAAACAAGCAAGCAAGCAGAAAAGAAAAGAAAGAAGAAAATAAAAAAACAAGAAAAAATATTAGGGGACTAGGAGAATAGCCCAAAGGTAAAGTGCTTACCTAGCATGCACAGAGCCCTGGGTTCAATCCCCAGTCTAGCTAAAAATATTTTAAAATTTAAATGTTTGTAAGCTGTCAGTCCTACATTGATGGATATAAATTTTCCAAACTTCAAATTTTTTCTTCAGTGGCTTGGGATATAGCTCAGTGACATAAGCATGTGTCTGGCACCTGCCTGGCAAGCGCAGAATCCTGAGTTTGATTCCCAGTACCAAAATTTTTTTTCTCCTCTCTCTTTTTTTTTTTTTTTTTTTTAGGAACTGGGGGTTGAACTCAGGCCCTTGAGCTTGCTGAGGAAGTGCTTATTCCACTGAGCTATCTCCCCGGTGTTATGGGTCACTCAGAATAGGAACCAGATCAGCCAGACTGGAATTTGGAAAGCTGTTTATTACTGAGCTCAGGGCCCCCATCAGCTCTCATGCAGGAGAGGACTGAAAGGCAGCTAGCCCAGGAAGCAGGGGGCTTTTAAAACATGAAACCACATTTGTTTGGTAAACAAATTCACTCACACAAAACAATGCTTTCAGGGTCATTGTGACCACTACCCAAACTAAATTTCCTGGGACTTTGTTTTAGTTTCTGGTTATCTTGCACCTGAGTAAGTACCTGCAGGCAATC